CGCTGGGCTTACACTTCAGAGTTTCGGAGTTCAGATTTGGGAACCCCAAACCCTAAACCCATCTAAACCTCAAACCTCAACCCTAAACCCTAAACCCTAAACCCTAAACCCTAAACCTCAAACCTAAACCCTACACCCTAAACCCTAAACCCTAATGCCCTAAACCCTAAACTTTTTAAACCCTAAACCCTAAACCCTAAACCCTAAAACCCTCAACCCTAAACCCTGAACCCTAAACCCAAAGCCCTAAGCCCTAAACCCTAAACCCAACCCTAGGTCTTCAACGTAGCGCATGACGGCGCGCCTGTCTCACTCTGAGGTACGGCGGCTGGCCGTCAGCTCTTAACATGTCCAGCAGCTTCACGTAGAGGAGGGGCCTTAATACGGTTTAGGGTTTAGGGTTTAGGGTTAGAAATTAGAACCCTGAGGGTTTAGGGGTTTAGGGGCCTTAGTAGCTAGAATAGGGCTTAGGGTTTAAGGGCCTAAATAATTAAAATGGGCTTTAGGGTTTAGGGCTCAGGGGTTTAGGGGCCTTGATAATTAGAACGGGAATAATTAGAACAGGGTTCCTTTGAAGAGCTCTATATAAGCCCTAAAACCTAAACCCTCAACCCGAAACCCTAAACCCGACACCCTAAGCCCTAAACCCTAAACCCCAGACCCGAAACCCTAAACCCGACACCCTAAGCCCTAAACCCTAAACCCTAAACCCTAAACCCTAAACCCTAAACCCTAAACCGTAAACCCTAATCGTCGAGGAGGGGCCGGGGCTCTCTGTGAGGGCCACTGGTCTGCGAGTCCTTCACCATCTCCTTGGGATCTTCTCAAAGGCTATCGGATACCGTAAGCTAGGGTTTTGTGTTTAGGGTTTTGGGTTTAGGGTTTAAGGTTTAGGGTTTAGGGTTTAAGGTTTAGGGTTTAGGGTTTAGGGTTTAGCAATCTCCTTGGGATCTTCTTAAAGGCTATGGGGTACCATAAGCTAAATCTACATAGGGTTTAGGGTTTTAGGGTTTAGGGTTTAGGGTTTAGGGATCTCCTTGGGATCTTCTTAAAGGCTATCGGGTACCGTAAGCTAGGCTTTTGGGTTTAGGGTTTAAGGTTTAGGGTTTAGGGATCTCCTTGGGATCTTCTGAAAGGCTATCGGGTACAGTAAGCTAAATCTACATAGGGTTTAGGGGTTTAGGGTTTTAGGGTTTAGGGTTTAGGGTTTAGGCCTTAGGGCAGAACAGGGGCATATACCGCAAGAGTAGGAGGAACACAGGTGTGTGTTTCAGGGCTCTTCAATCAGAGCCCAGTCTCTCGGATGGCCTGCTGCAGTTCATCCACGCCGTGTCGCCGCAAAGACTTGCTATTGTCCACCGGGAAGAAGCACAGGGATCTCTCCTGGTAGCATGAGGCTTCGGGTTCAGAGCTTACCCAAACCCCACACCCTAAACCCTGAACCTTGCAACCTAATCCCTAAACCCTGAACCGAAATCCCTACACCCTAAACCCTAAACCCTAATCCCTAAACCCTAGTAGCTCTTGTGCCCTAAACCCTGAACCCCAAAGCCTTCCCCAACCCCCAGCGCGTGAGAAGCTGACCCCCTCAGAGCCCCGAAAGGATCTGAAAAGCAGATCTTTTGGTTCCTCAAGGATTCCTTTATAGGGTTTAGGGTTTAGGGTTTAGGGCTGGGGGGTCTCTAGGGATCTATAGGGCTTAGGGGTTCCGGGGGAGGATCTAGAAAGTTGGATCACCTAATTTGGGACCTTATACTAGCAAAGAGGATTGTATAGGAAACCCCTAAACCCTAAACCCTGAGCCCTAAACAACCCTAAACCCTAAACCCCCCCTAAACCCTAAACCCTAAACCCCCCCCTTCTAAGGGATCTACTTATTTTAGATCCTCCCGAAGGTCCGGGACCGCCCACCCGCCTGGCAGGGGAAGAAAACGTTCTGCAGTCCCAGAGGTTTGAGGAAGCTCTTGATCCTTGGCTCCCGGTTCAGCGTTTCAGGTTCAGGGTTTAGGGTTTAGGGTGTTTAAGGTTCAGGGTTTAAGGTTAACCCTAAACCCTAAAAAGGGTAGCTAAGGCTCCCTCTAATAGGTCTTTAAGAATGAGGATTCCTGCAGAAGCAAAAGAAAAGATGCGAAGCCCCAACTTAGAGGGCCTTTGAGGGTCTTTTGGGGTTTAGGGTTTAGGGTTTAGGGTTTAGGGTTTAGGGTTTAGGGTCTGATGACGACTCTATAGAAAGGACTTTACAAGGGCTTTAAGATAGTTAGCAGTCATGTGTCCCATGACGTCCTTAAACATAAACATATGCATGCATGCATGCATACATCCATACATACATACATGCATATATGTAAGGACACGGTCACATACCCCAGACCACATTATGCTTGTCAAGGATCCTACTTTTTGAAGGATTTTTTGGAAAACCCTAAACCCTGAAGCCCAAGGCCCTAAACCATAAGAAACCCCAAAGCCCCAAACCCCTTAAAAAATCCCTTAAAGACCCCTTTAAAGGAACCCTCAACCCTAAGCCCCAAAACCCCAAAGCCCTAAACGCTAAACCCCCCCTTATTATAGAACCCTTACCCCTAAACCCTAAACCCTAAACCCTAAACCCTAAACCCTAAACCGTATAGATCCCTTTAAGGAGCCCCTTGAGGCCCTAAACCGCTTATAGATCCCTCAAGGAACCCTTATAGAACCCTTATAGATCCATTTTAAGGAACCCCTATAGAACCCTTATAGATCCTTTTAAGGAACCCCTCTACGCCCTAAACCCTGGGGCCCGAATAATCGAGGATCTTCTCGGCCATCCGCGCCAGAAAGGACTGAACATCGGCGTCTTTCTGCCAAGGGCTTTGGGGAAAGCTTAGGCGTTTAGAGAGCCACGGTTCAGGGCTTTAGGGTTTAAGGGGTTTAGGGGTT